CCTGGAGGGATGTGATTGGGAGCAATTGCCTGATTGAGAAGTGTTCTGTTAATGAGCAGCTGTGCTAGTCATGGCATATATATAACAAACACCATGTTCGAACATAAGGGTCTCCATAAGTCCAGGGCACCCTAGGCTGTAGACGGATGATAGACTTTGTAGTTGCGTCATGTTTTGGCCACTCGAGTGAAGAGAGATGAACTGTCACTGATCACAACCTGGTGGCGAGATGGATTAGATGGCAGGGGAAGATGCCAAACAGACCTGGTAAACTGGGAATACCTGGCAGAAGAACTCATTAGAAAGATTTCCAACTCCCACCTCTAATAGAGTCAATCCAATCCCAGCAGAGGTGGTGAACATTGAGTCCAAATGAGCCATGTTCTGAGCCTCCATTGTCAAAATGGTTGCCCTGAACTGTGGTTGCAAGGATGTTGGTGCCTCTCATTGTGGCCGTCTTCGAACCTCCACAGTCATCAGATCTGAATCCAATCCATCACGTCTGGGATGTGTGGAACAGGAGACTCACATCATGATGTGCAACTGACAAATGTGCAGTGTGATGCTGGCATGTCAATTTGGCCCAAGGTCTTTTCAGAATGTTTCTATCACATTGTTGATTTTAGGTTGAACTGAAATAAGTTATGTTGGGAAACAGGTATCCAACTGGATATTAGCAAGGTGTACCTAATAAAGTGCCGGTGAGTGCATGACATGTTAACACACACATACGTCACATACAACTCAGTGCTTGACATTTCCCAAAATGCTTCATTTGGTCACAGTTGAACTCATTGTTTTTGGAAGAACAGTGCAACAGTAGCTTTAAGGTAAATCAAGGACAAGTATTCAAGAAAGTCTGAATCAATGATCTGCTAATTTTAAAAAAAGAAGAAGAATCACTCCAGCAGCACTATCTCAGTGCTGACTCGACTTCGGTAATCTCTGCACCCTGCCCTAAACAAGTCAAACTAAAGGTGAATATTAGCCAACACAGTTTCCATCTATGACATTTCAACCCAAAACCTTTAGGTAAATTATTAAAATTTCTATTTTAGGATCCATTTCAAAGGTTAAAGGCAATTTTGTACAATTACCATAAAAACTGGGGGTTTGAAGTTCAAATCTTTAGACAAATGTGAACATTTTCCATTTGCTCTGGTCCTCCTTGCAAAGAAAACTAACTTGCGTTCTCCAGAAAACAGGCTGTGCATCATCAGAGGTGAAAGAATGCTGCAATCAGTTCAAGAAACCCACTTCACAACAATATGACCTCTGACCCTGAACAAGTACCTTTAATGAGCCTGACAGTGAGAGTGGTTGGATACATTTTTTACAGGAACATGCAGCTTAAGGTAAAAATAAAAAATAAAAAACACTAAACTATGTGATTAAATACTCCATCCATCATCTTTACCTGCTTCTTCCTTTTCGGGTCACGGGGGTCACTGGTGCCCATGTCCAGCCATGTGTACCCCGCCTCTGTGCAAGAGGCGGGGTACACATTGGACAGGTTGCAAGTCCATCACAGGGACACATAGAGACAAACAACCATTCACTCTCTCTCTCACACCAATAGACAATTTAGAGTTACCAATCAGTCGAAAGTGCATGTTTCGGTCTGTGGGAGAAAACCGGAGTACCTGGAGAAAACCCACGCATGCACGGATAGAGCATGCAAACTCCACCCAGAAAGACCCCCGGCTGGGATTTGAACCGGGGCAACCTTCTCGCTGAGAGGCGGCAGCTCTACCAACTGCTCCACTGTGCTGCCCTGGTTAAACACTCAAAATAGTTGTTTTTTAAGATAAGATAGAACTTCACTGATCCCATGGGAAATTGTTGTGCCAGAGTTTCAGTACAAAGGAACACTCACAAGGAATTTCACAAGATATAAAAAATAACAGAGAATATAAAAATGCCAGCAATTAAATTCTAAACAGGTCAGGTGTTAATGTCATATGTGCAGAAAGGGGGAGGAGTTGAAAAGTTTGATAGCCACAGGGAGGAAGGACTTCCTGTGGTGTTCTGTGGAGCACCTCGGTGGTCTCAGTCTACGACTGAAGGTGCTGCGGTAAGAGTCCAGTGTGTCATGCAGGGGGTGTGACGTGTTGTTCAGGATCTGGAGCAGTTTCCTCAGCATCCTCTGCTCAGACACCTCTGTCAGAGACTGCAGGTCCACTCCCAGAACTGAGCCAGCTCTCTTGATGAGTTTATCGAGTCTGTTGGCATCAGCTTTCTTCACCTGCTGCCCCAACACACCACATCTCATCTAGCTATTTAGAATTCTTCAATCATTCAACCTTTATTTATACAGGTTAATCTCATTGAGCCTCGAGGACTCATTTACAAGAGAGTCCTGATTTCAACAAAGAATGATGACAACAATGGACAACAGCAACAACAATAGACAATTATAAAAAGCATACAGATTATTATTATTTTTTTTACAAATAAGATGGATAAAAAAGAAAAGTAACAAAAACAGCTGGATTCTAAGGTGAATGTAGAAAACTAAAAACAGGAACATGTCAGCATTGGACCCTGCCAGGTGTCCAACAGATTCTTAAAGCCACTTAGAGAGGTCAAGATCGAGAGCTTCAGATGTTTTTGTAAGATATTCCAGGAAACAGGAGCAGAGTAGGAGAAGGCCCTTTTGTCTAGTTCAGTCCTCACTGAGGGAACACTGCAGGTAATGATGTCCTGAGAGCGCACGCTGTAGCTGCACTCACACAGAGACATGTAGGAGGAGATGTATGAAGGCAGCAGACCAGGAAGTGATTTAAAGATGAAAATGTACCAGTGAGAGAGTCTGTGTGAAGTTAATGGTGACCAGTTAACCAGTGAATACTGGGTGCAGTGGTGGGTACGATAATCACAGCCAGTTATGAATCTTAGTGCACCATGATAGACAGCATCCAACATCTGCAGCATCCAACATCTGCAGGGTTCTTGTAGGAGCGTTCATGTAAATGATGTCACCGTAATCAATTGAGGGAAGGAAACTCACAGATACAAGGTGTTTTCTAGCATTCAGGGTTAGACAGGATCTGTTTCTGAAAAAGAAACCCAGTTTAACTTTCAGTTTCTTTATCAAGTTTTCCACATGGAGCTTAAAAGAAAGATGTGAGTCGACCAAGATACCCAAATATTTATAGGAATCAACAAACTCAATGGGGACACCATTTGAGGATAAAATTAGAGGAAGAACTGCTGGGATCAACTTCTTACTTGAAAAAAGCATCCCTTTGGTTTTGTCTGTGTTTATGACAAGTTTGAGGCGGAACAAATCAGTCTGGATTATGTTAAATGCAGATTTCAAAAGCTGGAAAGCCTTATCAACAGTTTTAGCTCGACAATAAACAACTGTGTCATCAGCATAGAAATGTATGGATGCATTAGGGATGTTTTTACCTACATTACCTATGTAGATTGTAAAGAGGGTGGGCCCTAAGACTGAGCCTTGTGGTACACCATTGTTGACTGTTAAATAACTGGAGGAAGTACCATTATGTTGAACACATTGCCTCCGGTCTGAGAGATAGTTAGAGAACCAACCAATGGTGTGTTCTGAGAAACCAATTTCTGAGAGTTTATGACACAAGATGTTCTGATCCACAGTGTCAGAATCTTTAGACAGGTCTAAGAAAAGTCCAGGTAATTTTTGATTTGAGAGTTTATCAGTTTTTCTAGAACCTTGGCTAAAATGCAGAGTTTAGAGATTGGTCGATAGTTGTTCAGTGAGGTGGGGTCTCCTCCCTTCAGCAAAGGAAGAACAAAGGCTGTTTTCCAAGCATCTGGGATGGAGTTTTGTCTTATGGAGAGATTGAAGATGTGGGTCACAGGGACTGTGATGATATGAGCAGCCAGCCTTAAGAAATAAGGTGGAAGTTCATCTGGACCTGCAGATTTTTTAGGATCAAGATCTTTTAACAGTTTATTGACCTCACTGACTGAGAATGGAGAAAAAGAGAAGCTGTGATTAACTGAGGATTGACTTGTAGGAGGGATTTGATTTGTAGAAGTTTGGTTATTAAGTGAAGTGGCTGATCTTCCATTAGTAACTGTGTCAAATAAAGAACTAGAAGCAACAAAATGTTTGTTGAGACAGTTCAGGATCTCGTGCTTATTTGACACAGGAACAGAGTTAACGAGAAGTTGTGATGGGAGGTCAGATGATTGGGGGGTGCCTGAGAGAGATTTGATAGTTTTCCAGAATCTGTTAGGGTCATTTAGATTTTTGGAGGTCTGAGATAAGAAATAGTTGTTTTGCTGCTTTGACAGCAGTTGTACATTTATTCCTCATCTGTCGAAAACTCAACCAATCAGTGTCTGAGTCAGATTTTCTCGCTGCAGCCCAAAGATGATCTCTCCTGTGCAGGAGGTCAGCTAGCTCAGGAGTAAACCAGGGGATGTCTCGTCTCTTTATTCTGAACTGACGAAAAGGAGCATGTATGTTCACAAAATAAATGAAACTATTATGAAAATAGTTCCAAGCAGAGTTCACATCATCAGTTAACAGAATACGATGCCAATCAAAGTGAGACAGATCCCAGAGGAATGACTGTTCACAAAAACATTTCAAATCCTTTTTGAATTAATCTGGGCTTAGAAGGTGGAAGTTTAATATCTCTGAGAGTCGCTGTCACGCAATGATCACTCAAAATGATCATTTCATATGTGTCTTTCCTGTATAATTAGAACGTTACTGGATGCCTCAAATTTCCCCTTATGGATTAATAAAGTGTCTGTCCATCCTATAAGATTGTGCATCATGATTTTTTCCAAGATTTTCCTCATCCATTTATGACCAAACCAGCTATAATCTGATGCTCTTAGTTTAAAACTCTGGCGTGAAAGGCAGCGGGCGATATGCAGTACTTCAAGAAATTCTAGGTCTTTAGTTTCTGATTTAAAGTGAAAGAAGAGAATTTAGTCCATGACATGTTTCAAACATGTAACTAGAGAATGTAAATGTTACACAGAAAGCAGGTTCTTACCGCTGTGGAAAGTCTGGAAGCCAATGTCATCTCCAAGTTCCCTTTGAGTCCCAGCAGAGCAGGAACCAGGATGAACACCTCGGACACCTCTGTGAACACCGTCCAGTGCTGCAAAGACCACCACGCAGTGTCAGTACCAGAACTTCAGTGGAGTAAAAACACGTCCTTACACTGCAGAACTTCTGACAGTCAAAAAGAACATGTCATAAAGTTGTTGTGTTGTGATGATGTGACACACTAACTTTGAATTCTTTAATCAAAATCTTTGCAAACAAACTTTTCTTATTTGCAGCTCTTTAAGGTGCAAGTACAACCTCTACATGAAAACATCAGCATTTTTGTCTTCTTTCATATGATGTGTCTGCCACCGCTAGACAACGTCAGATTTTTTTCTACCCCACCCAACACCCACCAAATATAGAGTGCACTTCTGAGCTTCCACAGTTTTAGTTATATTTTAGTGGAAAACATTCACTTCAAAACTACAAGTGTAAAGTATTGAACATAAAAACTCCCAGTTGTTACTCTCACAGTCTTCTGCTGCTCACGGTTCAAGGTTTTAAAGACCTGACTTGTAGTTTTTGAATAGTAAGTGTTTGTGCTCAACATGTCAAAGTGACAGAGTTCAAGCTTTTTGTGTTTCTTAAGGTCACTCACCTCTGGCAACCATCCTGAATCGTGATAACACTTAAAGCTAATCTAAAAAAAGTGAAGTCAGGTCCTCTGAACGGATTCAAAAAATATAAAAAATAAAATTAAAAATTTGTTGAAACGTTTCATCTTTTAGCCAAAAGACTTCTTCAGTCTGAGAAGCTGAAATAAACTCATGTCTTATAAACAGCACCTTCTCACTGTGGATCAACCAGTTTGTTGTTGACGTCCAGAACCAGCTGTTCACATGATCAAGGAGGACCATCAGTCCAACGATTGATCGTTAGTGCCATGATGGACATTTGCTTTTCACAGAGGGCTGACTGATAATAGCAATAACAGCACTGTAAGAGGGAACAGTTGGACACAGAGGCCTCCGCCCCGTTTCATGATGGACAGGGGCAGGCCCCGTCATGAAACAGGGGCGGGCCCCATCACGAAACAGGGGCGGGTCCCGTCATGAAACAGGGGTGGGCCCCGTCATGAAACAGGGGCGGGCCCCGTCATGAAACAGGGGCGG